GGGTGTGGGGGGGGGGGGAGGGGGGGGGGTTGTTTCAGGGACAAGTTGGCTCAAGCTTTTCTTGTGCTTCATCTTGTGACTCAGCGTATTCTATCAAGTGGAACAAGTTAGATGTTCCCACCGCTAGTTGAGCTCTGCGTAACATCTACGTCACCACACACTTACGTATTTGTGTTGCACTTTTTTCTGTCCGGGTTGAAACTGAAGCGAAGTTCAACCCGAACCGAAAAGGAAATGCGTCAGTGAAACTCTGTAATCATATCGAAATATCGAAAGCGTGCTTAAAACTCGTATCACCATTATTGAATAAAAGTATATCGTGACGTATATCGATATCGAATTATTCTCCAGCCCTAGATGAAACTTACTTTTAAGTAACAAAAGAACCGCTTTTTGAAATATGGGCAATATGCAAAAAAAAAGACAAAGCTCTGATGTGTAGTAAAATGATTGCACATAAGTAGTAACGGTACATTAAATGCATTCTATCTGCTTTTGAAGCACTTTGTCAAAAGCTACTTTTAGTTCAGATAATCAGGAAATATTTCCTCATGAATTATTATTTGTTAACGTTGTTTATGGCACTTGTTTTTTATCTTTCTGCTATTGGTCTGTGGGCTCTGCACCAGCCTGTGTAGTGGTCCTGCCTGCTGTATTAGGAGGCTGACTTGCAGTCCCTTAAGTTTGCATAAAGACTAAATGGAGATATGAACGTGCGTGTTCAGTCTCTCTGACCTCATTGGACATTTTCTTTAATCTTCTTTTTTTTTAGGGCTTTTTCGATATTCCTGTTGATAACTTGTATGCAGAGCCAGCCGTGCTGAAATGGATTAAAGAGAACATCCTGGAGTGGAAAAACTGTATCATTGTGTCACCTGATGCAGGAGGAGCCAAAAGGTAAGCCAGAGTCAACTTGTGAGTTCTGCTCTCAGCCTCCTTGGATCTCTTCTAAAATGTACTAAAGATTAGTCCTCTGTTGACCTAACTTGTCTCTCCTAACAAGTATTTATTTATTTATTATGCATCTGCTCTAACTTGTGTATTTTTCACTATCTGTTTTGCAGGGTCACCTCCATCGCAGACAGGTTGAATGTGGATTTTGCTCTTATTCACAAGGAAAGGAAAAAGGCAAATGAGGTGGACCGCATGGTTCTCGTGGGAGATGTGACGGATCGGGTCGCGATTCTAGTGGACGACATGGCCGACACATGCGGGACAGTCTGCCACGCTGCTGACAAGTAAGCTCCTTTATTTACCCATCAAATGTCACAGCCTGAGCAGATTCACATCAGTTACCTTTTCTCGCCCTTTAGATTAATCTCTGCAGGCGCCACTAAAGTATATGCCATCTTAACGCATGGCATCTTTTCTGGGCCTGCAATTTCACGCATCAACAATGCCTGCTTCGAAGCCGTGGTGGTCACCAACACAATCCCTCAGGAGGAGAAGATGAAGCATTGTTCCAAAATACAAGTCAGTCTCAACACTTGGCTCTGAACCAGTTCGTGTTTAGAAATGCAGACGAGTCGTCGATTATCTCACAGCATTTTGTTGTCTCGCCTTTCTCCAGGTTATAGACATCTCCATGATCCTTGCGGAGGCCATTCGCAGAACTCACAACGGGGAATCTGTTTCTTATCTGTTTAGCCACGTTCCTCTGTAACGCCACCGTCGCCAAAAAAAAAGAAGAGGGCACGCCCCAATCTTTACCATCAGCAAATATGATCTACTAATAACTGATGGCGAAAAGAACTGTCATGTCTGTTACTAACACCGCCCCCATTTTCACTAAACCCTCCCCATTAAAGATGTCTCTATGTGTTCGGCGCCAAAGCAAGCGAGCTACTACTTTTAGGCTGGCGTGTTCGTTATGTTCAGATAAATATGTACACAGTGAATTGTCTTTCTTTTAATGACATGTAACTCGCAGCGTTTCTCCTGATCATTGTAATCCCCCCACCCAAAAAAAGTCATTTTGATCTGTTGTCAGGTTCCAGTGCTCAGGAGATGTATCCAGTATGTAAAGCTGTTCCATGGCTTTTTGTTACAATGATTGTGTGTACTTTTTTATGTTGCTCTGCTATCTTCTGCTGATGAAAAGGTCGCAGTTAATGGACTGAATGTGTATTTGTCTAGTTTACGGTGCCGCTGAAGCTCCACTCAACCACGAGTGCCTCAAAAGTGTGAAATGAAAGTAAGTTTTTTCTTTTAGTTTTCACCCCCGCCTGACATCACTTGGTGACGAAACTCTTCTTTCAGGCTGTAAACGATGTATATTTTATTGTATGTTTTCTTTCAACTCTTGAGGCGCCCTCATTGAGTGGGGTATGCCCGGTGTTTAAAAATGTTTCCTTTAAGTCTACAATGAGAAGATGTCGGAGGAGGAGCTGTTTTTAGCTCGGGGTCTCTGCAGGCTGGAGCTTCCTTCAGAAATGTTCACCTGCTTTTCTTGTCTTTTTTTAATGTTTAATAGAGTAAGGTTTTGTCGTCCATGTGCAAAATACAAGGGTTTTCTTTGTTTTTCGTTCACAGTAGAAATGAATGCACCAAAAATTTGAAGATGTGTTCTTAATAAATTTAAATATGCGTTCAAATTCAAACTTGTTTTCTATCTTTGACAAACTTAACAGTTTTTGTGCGTCTTAATGATGTAATTTTCAGGCAGCAGGAGCCCAGAGGGTTTTCAGTTTGTATACATTCATAAAGATGTTACACGATTATTTAATGCCCATCTGTCGTTAGTTTACATGGTTGCTTTTCAGGCATTAATATGAGTCCTGAACAAATAGTTAAAAGAGTAAAAGGCTTTTAATATGTTTAGAGCGACAAACGAAGTTTCTTCTGTCAATTCTCATTGAATTTAATGTTACGATTATAACCTTTGTCCAAGCATGGGACCATTAAGTCACTAAAATGAAACATTGTTATCTTGGCACAATGATTTGTTTCAGACACTTGTTTTTATTTACATCTCATACAGTTATCCGATATCTGCTGCTTTGCGCATGCGCGAATCAATAGCATTGTGGGGCGATGGCTGATGGGAGTGGACAGCCGCCTGTGAGTGATGGATGGGGGAGAAGCCCCAGGCAGCTCCCGCTGCTTGTTGGAAAGAATATTTGGCTTTCAGTCTTCAGAAGTCCCCTAAAACACCAATAAAGGCGCTAAATTTTGTCGCTTTTTGGAAGGGGGTCGCGTGATTGGTATGAAAACGCATAAACTAATAACGCTGTGTAAAAACTGATTGACAGGTGAAGCATCCAATCGGAGAACATGTAACGTCATTCATGTGAGCCAATAGTCATCCGGCAGAAGGCGGGTCGAATCAAAACACCGGCATCGTTTTAAATTATTTTTATTAGGTGCATCACTTGATATGATGTGGTCAATCCTCTGATGAGAAAAAAACTGCCCCTCTCCATGTGCCGAGGTGGAAATAAATTAAAAACCTGTGCTGCTCCAAATTCTTTTTAACACATCTTGAAAATTTGATTGTCACCACAAAGCTGCTTTTTTTATATAACAAAAGGTGAGTACATTTATAATTTCGTAACAACCAGTTGCCTCATAGGCTAATGGTTTTTCACTTTTAAACTGTATAATAGTCCTGCATATACTGATTTAATTGAACATTTTTGTGAATATATTTTTCCTCGTGTTGTTTTGCTTTAAATATTAGCTAACATCTCATGGTTAGCTTAACTGTAAACATTCTTCCTGTCTGACATCATGGTGGTTTTTAATGCAGCAGAGGAGGGTTCATATGGGCAGCTCAAAATATGTCCTCCTAATAAACATGCTACTTTACTGAGTTTTCTGTTTATTGTTTTGTGTATTGTTCAACTACTTTGACAGTTTTAAGTTGGGTTTAAAATGATTTTTAGTGATTCACTTTCAGTTTCTTTTTTTACATTTTTTATGGGGCAGTACTGTTCAAAGACCAAGTGTCAAGTGGATATGTGAACGTCCGGCCAGTGATCTGAACATGTAGGTCCAATAGTTTCATTTGGGGCATCAGATTTTCTGCACTATGGACCCATTTGGCTGCTTTAAACACACTGACACCTCTACCTAGACCTGAAGCTCAAACACAGGTGCTGTGAAACCTGCTGAGGCAAACAGTGGAGATATTCAAGTTTTAAAACCGAGTTATATGGGTTAGCAAAACAAACTTTTTTAATTGGCTGTGCCCACCACTTGTGGCTTCAATCCCACTTGCATCTTTATATTTGATTCTATGAATATATGTTGTATCATCATTTTTCACTTGTATATTATTTTAGTTCATTTAATTTTTTTCTCCCATTAAATTGTGTTAATCTGGAGTATTGTTTCAGAATTGAGACACAATCTCAACCTAGAGAAGAGAGAAGAAAGGGAAAACCTTTGTAGAAACACACACAGAAACTGCAGCAATAAGTTAATTATAATTAGGGGTTTATTAGTCAAATATTATTATTATTAGGGGAGTTTTTGTTTTTGATCACTGATAGGATTTGTTCAATTCTAATCTGGACTATAGGCATTGGATTTTTCATCTTCTCTTTTTGGCTTTATAAATAATATTTACAAAATGTTAGTTTATCTATTAAAGTTTTTTTAAAACCTTATGATCTTCAGTGAGCCTCCCAGTGTCAGTGCTAGCATGTCATGATTTGTACTTTCATTTTCACCAGCTCAATAAATGGCAGGAAGTCCGGACCATAATGGAGATGATGAAGACCCCGGGGACACGATGATTCGCTTCCAGAGCTACTTACATGGAGGAACCTCCAGCTTGCTGTCTGCCCTTCCCTCCTTCCTCGTCTTCCCTGTCTACAAAACCATTTTTCGCCAACAAATCCACAACACCCCGGTTGGCCAGGCGGTGGGACAGCTCTGTAAAGAGGGGCCTGTGAAGCTGTACAGGGGCGTGGCTCCACCCGTGCTGATGAGGACGCTGAACGGCACGCTGCTGTTTGGCCTCCAGGACACACTCCTCCGTCAGCTCACACTGTCGTCCCAAAATGTCCTCCCTGCGGCAGCTCTGCCGGCTCTGGCTGGGTTTGGAGCAGGGTTGGTGGAAGCTGTGGTTTTCACTCCATTCGAGCGGGTTCAGAACGTGCTGCAGAACGGCCAAAACGACCGTCACCTACCCTCCTTGAGGAGCGTTCTTGTGACCCTGAAGTCGCAGAGGATGAGCTATGGCTACTACAGAGCCTTCCTCCCCATTGCAGCTCGTAACGCTCTGGGCAGCTCCCTCTACTTTGGACTGAAGGGTCCTGTGTGCGTCGTCGTGGCGGGACAGGGCCTCTCCCCCATGACCTCCTCCTTTGTCTCGGGAACGCTGACCTCGATGGCGATCAGCTTGGCTCTGTACCCGCTGTCTGTGCTGGTGGCAAACATGCAGGCACAGGTGGGCGGGGAGGGGAAAGGTGTTGTTGCATGCTGGAAGGCCTTGTGGAAATCTCGGCATGGGAGCGTGGCTCTTTTGTACCGAGGAGGTTCCCTCGTTATTTTGAGATCGTGCATCACGTGGGGAATCGCCACCGCCATTTATGACAAGCAGGAGAAGCGATCGTGTTGAAGAGACACTGTTGAAAGTTGTTACACTGTTAAGAGTTTACACAGACTGTTGTATTCATTTTAGTAGCCATACAACTCTTTCAGTTCAAAAACATAAGGGTTTTGCTCTGAAAATGTATTTTTTTGTGTGCAGGTATCCAACAAACGCATCAACTTGTAGCAGGAACATCTCAGGTGTTGCCGTTTTAAGTTCATCTCAGAGCCAACATGAACAACTTTCATTAACTTAGGACCCAATTTGAATTCAGCTATGATTCCCTGTCTGATCTTGACCGCTGTCACACATAAGATGTCTGCATTTCAGCTGACTTGTCCAAACCAACAAATCTGCCAGTTCTGTGTCCAAATGTAAAACCCACTGCCACGAAGCCCTGGTGAGAATTTCTCTTGTGCCTGAATGTGTTTGTGTGCTGAAAATATAAATATGGTGCAGACGAATCACAGGTGCCTTCCTTCCTGTTGTTTTATGAAAAGATGCGTCGTCATTTTGCAGACATTACTGGTTTTCTTTAGGAGGCATTAGTAAACAGGAAAAATGTAATAAAATATATATTCAACAAACATGAGCAGCCAAACCTAACAAATAAAAGTCCTTTGAGGCTCAATGCAGAAGCCTCCTGTTTTTAAAGGCTTGTCATCGTCGTGGAAAGTTTCATCAGAATGGGTTGCCATGTTGCTGATTGTCAGTGATTGCCATCTTGATTCTGGTTAACTCCATGAAAGTTATTCAGTTCTATTTGGTTCAAAGATTAGTCTTAAGAGTTTCATTCAAATTTGTCACGTTGTTTGCGAGATGTTTTGCTAACATACAAACAAGCTCATGGACAAAAACATTCCTGTGATAAATATCCTGTCTTCTGCTGCACTAACTCTTTATGCAAATACTTGTTTCCCTGTCAGTGTGTGAAAACACCTCAAGCGTGTCCAGTGAGTGTATATATATGTACCGTCTGACGTTGTATAAACTTTGATACTTTCAGCGCTACCTGTCAGATTAAAATTTGTTGTTCTGGGGAATATTAAACAAGTCAGCTGTTTCTGTTCACCGAGGAATTTAACAGACCAAGTAGCTAAAGATTCAACCTGCAAGATGTGAGCTGTCTGGGATTTTTATTGCTCTGATGCACCTCTCCTCTCGTGTAGACTTTTTTTTTAGTTTACTGTTTTCAAGACTAGTAACTAAAATTAACTATATATATATATATATATATATATATATATATATATATATATATATATATATATATATATACATAGTTAATTTAATAATAGTAGTAATAATAGTTAATATAAATTTTGTGAAACCACAATGACCCATCTGTTGTTACATGCATGAGTTAGTTTTCTTGCACAAGTGGGTTTTTGTTCTTGATGTGTAACGCTGGAATGCATGTTGTGTGTTGCTTCACAATAAGAGAATTCCAGGGAGACTACATAAATGACCCGAGGCCTGTGGGGGTGTGTATGTATGTGTGTGTGGCGGGGGGATTTTGCCTGTGCAGATGTGCAGACACATCCAGACTTGAATTATAAACTGAGCTGCTGTATTTCATCGCCTTCACTGCCTCTGTGATTCTGCATCTGTTGGTTGTTGGACTAATTCTGGACACGATAAAGAAAACCGTTCACACATGATTGCAGACACATGTGTACTAATGAAAATGAAGGTCAAGTATTTCTAGAAAGGATACAGACCCTTTCCAAAAATTTAGAATATCATGGAAAAGTTGTTTAACTTCCATAATTCTATTCAAAAGGTTCATTTTTAATAGATGATAGATTCAGGGCCCACAATTTAAACAATTTCAAATATTTATTTATTTTTACATAATTTGGGCTTCCAGCTCATGAAACCCACGAAAGCAGGATTTCAAAAAATTAGAATACTGTGGAGAAATCAGCCCAAATGTTGCAGGACATGAATGTTTTAAACAGAGTGTGACACTAATCATCTACTAAACTCAAAGCACCTGCACAGTTTCCCCATGTGTCATTAAATTGCTTCAGTTCGGTTCAATATGGGGAAGACTGCAGACATAACAACTGGCCAGAAGACCATCATTGTACCCTCCATAGGATGGGTAAACCACAAAAGTTCATAGCTAAGGAGGCTGGCTGTTCATAGAGTGCTGTGTTCAAGCATATAATGGAAAGTCTAGTGGAAGGGCAAAATGTGGCAGGAGAAGATGCACCAGCAAAAGAGATGACCGTGGGCTTCAGGGAATTATCAACCAGAGAAGATTCCAGAATCTGGCAGAGATCCAGAAAGAGTGGAATGATGCGGAGTCACAGCGTCAAAAACCACCACATTCAGACGCATGCAGGAGATGGGCTACAACTGTCGGGTTCCTCAGTCCTCTTTTCCGATGAAAGTAAAGTGTGTCTTTCATTCAGAAATCAAGGTCCAAGGGTTTGGAGGAAGAAGGGTGAGGAACAGAGCCCATACTGCTTGAGGTCCAGTGTGAAATATCCACAGTCAGTCATGATTTGGGTGCAATGTCCGGTGCAGGTGTTGGTAAACTCTGCTTTCTTAAATCCAAGGTCACCACAACAGTCTACCAGAATGTTTTAGAGGACTGCATGATTCCTTCTGCTGAGGATCTGTATGGAGATGCAGATTTCATCTTCCAGCAGGACCTGGCTCCAGCCCATGCCACCACAAGCACCAAAACCTGTTTTGATGCCCATGCCACAGTGCTTGGCCAGACAACTCGCCAGACCTAAACCCCATTGAGAATCTATGGAGTATTCTCAAGAGGAACATGAGGAGCACCAGACCCACCACCAAAGAAGAGCTGACAGTATCAAGGAAATCTGGGCTTCCATAACTCCCAGTCATACGGGCTGATTGACTCAATGCCAAGATTGACATATCGTTTTGAAAGTACCATATTTTGATTGATTTGTTGTGATCCTAATTTCTTTATTTATTTTCTGCAAAAACTGAGAAGTGTGGGCTGTTGTCTTTACAGTATTCAAATGTTTTGAAATCCTGTTTTCGTGGGTTTCATGAGCTGGAAGCCCAAATAATGTAAAAATAAACAACTAAATACTTGAAATTGTGGGCCCTGAATCTATCATCTATTAAAGATTAACTTTTTGAATGGAATTATGGAAGTTAAACAAGTTTTCCATGATATTCTAATTTTCTGGAAAGTGTCTGTATATGCCTTTTAAACAGAGTTTTAGATAATCTCATGTGGAGAAATGTCACATTTCTTAGTCGCGTATAGAAATTATTGTATGCACGAGCTTATGCTCAGAGTCTGAGTTGTAAATGACTCGGCTCTTACTGCATGTTCGCTCAATATCTCTAAAACTGAGTTAAAGCCCTTTTTATTTTATTGATAAGCTGTTGCAGCAATCTGAAGTTTGATTGCCAGTAACTCCCAAAGTGAATCAGTTGTAGATGACTACTTTCTGAAATTTTCATTAAAATCCATTCAATGGTCCGTGAGATATTATGCTAACAGAGTTGACTAATAATGCCAAAGTAACACTTATCTTGCTCAATGAGTAGTTCTTACAGTGGATTGTGAAAGACTCTAAGCTGCAACTACATCAAGTTTTAACACATCTGTGCAACTAGTTGAATTACAGACATTTCTGTTTTCTAATACGTAACCGCAGCAGTCGCCTATTAGAAAACAGTCGGCTCCCAAAGATAAAGTAAAATGTTCAACTCATTATGTTTTCCTGAAAGTTTCGTTCAAGTCAATCCGGTTCGTGAGGTATTTTGCTAACAGACAAAGTTAACTCCAAATAATTAAACTAATTTATTTTCTACTAAGACCTGGCACCATCTGTTAGTGCTCAGAGTATGTGTTGAGGATTAGTCTCAGCTACCACCCCACAAGTCAATCTGTCAAATTCCCTGTGGTAGACTTTTTTTTATTTTATTTTGAAGGCCATTTGGCTGTGGCAGCCATCTTGAAATGTATTGAGTCTAAAATGTATGTAAGCATCCATTGCTTCCTGCAGGTAGAGATGCTCAGATGAAGCTTCGTGAAGCTTTCATTCTAACTGGTTCATTTCAGGCTTCACGTGCACACAAACTCCTGCTGGGCGAAAGTTTTGTAATTTTAACTACTTGAGTTGAGATGGCCGCTTCTTAAAAGACAAATTAAAGCGCCTACATTTTATTTAGTGTTTTTTCATATATATTTTGAAGTTTGGTTAATGGTAATAGAAGTACTTATTTATTTTTGATAAACGTGTCAGCATTATTTCAACCATTAGATGTTGTGGGACCGTGAATGTATGAATACTGGGATGGTGACTTTTCATTTCTATTAAGGTCAAATATTTATGAGACTAACCTGTATAAATAAAAGTTGAATGAATTCTTCTGAGCTTGGACTCAGTTGGTTTCTCTGAAACATGTCTGCTGTGAAACACTGCAGGAACTTTCTGGGCCTCGCCTTTGGCCTTCTTCTCTTTTTGTTTTTGGGCCTCAGCCACTGCCTCAAAGGAAGTAAGAAAATATTTATCATTAATTTAAACCTTAGTCAAACTTTATCCACACATGCTTTTCTGGCTGGGAGAGCATGCACATGTAAAAACAACAAATCTTTTCCAGAGCTAGCAAGCATTCTTCACATCTAACCAGTGACGTCACTAACCGTAACACACGCCTAGTCGGCACGCGCTGCACTGAAAACTTCCGGAATTCCTCAGCATAAGCTCCGAAACAGTTGATCAAAACAGTTTCTAGTGGTTCGTGAGATGTTTTGCTAAAAGACAGGCTTACACAAACGGTGGCAAAACATTATCGTCTGTTTTCACGTCGCTGCGGCGGGCGATAACTTCTTTTGATCACAAATGCTTGTTCCTTCCTTTCGCAAAGGTGTCATGTCGAAACATGTCCGGTAGATGGCGCTGTGTTAAACCAATAACCCATTCATGTCAAAAATTAAAGGAGCTAATCAACAGAGCAGTGGCAGGAGTTGAAGACATTAAATAAATAATGATGCATAAAAGAAATTCGCCTAAGGAGCGACAATGTATTCACCAGGAAGTGGTGTTGTGGATTAAAACGTGTCCCGTTCAAACAGTCCCCCCCTCCTCCTCCGTAGCAGCGGGAGCCAATCAGAAGCCACGGCTCGGTGTCCATGTTGTCGTGCAGAAGGGCGTGTTGACTCTATTTAAACCGAGGGCTCTGCACGGATTACACACAGACGTGTCTTACCTGGAGAGGATCTCGTCAGCACATCGCCCTACACCAGGTATGCGAACAATGTCCTTAAAAGCGTCTTATTATCCAGATGGAAGGATCATTTTGTTGATCTCATAACGCAAAGGCGCTTGGATCTCTTGGGCAACATTTCTGCTTTTCACGCTGCAGGCCTAAAACCATTTGGTGCTGCGTGCACTTTTATCCGCATTCTTCTTTTACACAGGCCTGCAACTGGTGTCTACACCTTCCACTTTAATGCAGTGCAGGGTAGAAACATTTTTAATTCTGTCCAACCTACTGAAATGTAGATGGGCTTTATTTGAAGAGATTTGCAAAAACATGTTAAAGCCTTCACATTCTGTGTTGCTGCTGATCTCAGCTGTCCTGGTTTACAGTGTTTTATGAAAATGTGTAGCTAAAATGCAAATGAGGTTTCCCACCAGTCAGGTTCCTCCGTCTGTACATAACAGTGCAGGCCCAGTTCTCTGGGAGAATGCCCAGTTCACTGTGGGAGAATGGAAAGGACAGTTTCCACTCATGCACTGACTGAGGTGGGGCTCATCTTGTGTACCTGTATGGACATGCAGTGTGTGTGTGTGTGTGTGCATGCATGCATTCTTCAGGTGTGTTGCATTTATTGTGTGCTTTTTTTAAGTCCAACTTTGTCGTTTGGTCTCCTGCTAACAGATCTCTTCCAAAATGAGCGACCCCAACCCAGTCAACCAGGAAGTGGAGACGTTTAACAAGCAGAAGCTGAAGAAGACGGACACGGAGGAGAAAAACCATCTCCCAACTAAGGAGGGTAGGTGTTCAAGGAAGGGGGGGGGGGAGTGCACGAAGCGCAATGGTCTTGTCCACACCTGTTTCACATTTCACCACTTTTTTTTTTTTTTTTTTTGGCTCCATTATGCTTCAACTCCTCCCTTGACATCAGGAGACAAACATTGCATCACAAAGTGGTGCTGCACACCCACTTACCTGGAGGCGTCCCGTTCATTTTCTGCTGCGCGTCGGCGTGCAGCCCCACCCCGAGTGATTTTTACAGGAAGCGTGGGCGCGTTTTACACCTGCCATAAATTCTGTGACTGATAGGAATTAGACGGCTTCCTGATTTGTAGGACCATGGGGGGGTAAATTTGTTTTAATCTCGATACAGCAATGAAATAAAGGTCCAACTGATAAAAACGGGAGCAAATGTCTAAAGGAATAGTTCAGAGCTTTTTGCAGGTGAACATTTAAAATCGGAACGATCTCTGTTTGGAGAAATTATAATTGACAGGATTGACGAGTTTATCTAAAGGGCTAAGACTATGAAATTTTTTTTTTATTTAAACGACTCTAATAAAGTGCTTCAGTTTGACGATACTTAAACATTATAACCAGTAACGTTTGCATTCGGTTAGGTTTTACGAAATCAGATTGAATTTTTGTAGTTCTCTGCAGATAAACTACAGGAGCTAGCTATAGCGCTTCTGGTGTCGGGTTCGACTTCTTCAGCACGACGTGCTGTGAAATATTTGAGCTTTTGGTTTTAAAATGGCAGCAATCTACTTTAGTTTTGGCCTTGCTCACATTAGCCTTTAGATTTTATTTTTTTTTTTTTTTTTAATTTCTTAACTTTGAAGTTATTCAGATATCTACAACATTTAAGATTAACTTTTAATTTATATTCATTACCTTTCCACTGAACAAACCCAACTTCAAATGAAGGAAACTGTTCCTTTAAAACCTCATGTCATAAAAAGTAACGATGTTCAGCTTCCCTCCAGAGGCCGAAGTCCTGCTTTCTTAATCTTCAGTTTTTAAGCGCATGGGACTATATTTTAAATCCAGAATGCTTTAAATTAAAATTCACGTTATTTGCATGAACTCTAACCCTTTCTGTTTGTGGTTTCATGGACGACTTCCCATTGAGGTGTCAAAAGAAACTTCATCACTTCCTGAGAAGTTGCTCAAGTGTCTCTGACTGTTGGATTGATAAGTGTTGCACCTTCAGCTTAAAATGTTCTTTGTGATTTGACAGAAATTGAAGCGGAGAAGAAAGCCATGAAAGAGGATAAATGAAAGCAGCCTGCCATGATGATGATGATTCTTCTTCGCCCTGCTCCGTCACCAGCTCGCCCTCCATTCGGGCGTCCTGTCACTTCCACACCGGGTCTTTCTGTGCCACCAGTGGTTCTGAGGGAGTCTCTTGTATAATCATCTGTATACATTAATGCAACGTTTTACCGTGTTCTTTCTAAACGCAAGCGTTGGACAGAACACGGTAAGAGGCGGTCGGGCTGTAATCTACAACATGACACCAAAGCTATGCCTGTAAATGGCGCCATTTAATTAAATGTTGTGAAAAAAGGCAATGATTTTTGTTTTAATAAATAAACATGTCGGATGTATTTGAGTTTTTTTTTCTTTAAGTTGTATTGTGCTCTGACTTATCTGAGCAGGGTGGGGGAGTTTTCTGCCAAAATATTATGCTTTAAAAAAAAAAGACTCTAAACTTGTGAATTTTCAAGTCTGTATTTTAGTTTAAAGGTGTGACTTGAAGTTGATCTATAACTTTAAAAATGATTTGAACTGGGAAACATATTTCAGACAAAGCCCAAAAGTACTGGATGCAACACTCAAAGAGTTCACTTTTTATTTTCTGTCCTTCCTCAAATGAAATGCACTGAAGAGCCAACTCATGTTTTGCTTTCCGTTTGGACATTTCCATGGGGCTTATCTTTAAATAGTATGCATTCTTTCATCAGGGACGAGCAATATTTATCTCCAAACGACCTCCTTTTCTGAAAAGGGGTTACTCGAGTTAAGCCTAGGCTGTTTGTCCAAATCAAGCTTGTTTAGACACTTAAAAAAAAAAAAAAATAATAAAGTATTGCAATCTGCTAATGTCAAAAACAAAGGCATCCATACCTGAAGCTGGCTTTAGTTGGATTTTGGTTTCCAAAAGATGTGTTCCAGTGATGTTTCATCCCCAGGATGAGGTTGGTCCACACAGACTAGTTGCTCAACATGATATGAAAAAGGGTTTGGCCCTCTGGAGACTACACAATGTTTTTTTTGTTGGTTTTTTTTAAACTCTTTTGACAAAAGATGAACGGTCCATCTAGGGCAGCATTCCTCCAGAGAATGTGCGGGTCATTTTCTGTTTATGTATCAAACCAAAGACCTGTGAGAAAAATCTGACATTTCATCTAATCACCAAATTAAATGTTTTACATCTGAGAGACTGGGTCTGTTGCTGCTCATTTAAAAAATAATAAGCATGCTCTCGGAAGACGATCGCTTGACTGCCAGCCAGTTAACTGAATCCAAGAAAAATAAATGGGACTTCATCAGTAATCTTTAGTTTTAATGTGCAAAGAGCAAAAGTCCAATGAGACTTCAGACTCCTGGTGAACTTGCAGCCCAGCAATTATCAGACTTGAGTTGACATTCATCTGAACAGTCTGCTTTAAAAGTTTTTTCTCATTCCAGTGTCAAGTGATCTGATAGTGTGACTTTAATGTTTTAACTGATTTGCTACTGTGATAAAGTATACTATAATAAAAAAAGTTGATAGTGAGGCTTTGAAAAAACGTTTTTTCTTAAGTCATCAAAGTTCTCAACTCTACATAAAATGTACTGGTAATTGTACTAAGGTTTTCTATTTTTTACAATTAATACATTTTGCAATAAATGAAATGGGGCTTGGCATGGACCAAGTTTATTTGGTCTTTGAGTTTGACTCAACACAAGTTTAGGTGCCTTTAAGTTTATTTTTTCAGATGTATACAGGTATATCAGTCAGTTTCTTTGTCATTCGCACCTCATGTGGTACATGTGGTGGAGCGAAATTATGTACACAGGGTCCCAGTTACATCCAACAATAAAATGTATAAGAAAAACAGTAATAACATCTAAGATATGAACTAAGAAAAACATCAACTAAATATACACTAAGCACTCATAACATAAAACATTGAACATCA